GGAGCCATGTCTCTAGGCAAGACCTGCTAAAGTCACAGTATGGATACACATTTATCTCCTTTCTGGGAGAAACATGCCTTTGTAGTTTTCTCCCCATTCTGCCCCACTGTGCCAGGTGGGAGGGAGCTATCTGGAGTTTGATGGCTGATTTAGATGGACTAAGAACACCAGGGCAATAGTGAGGCCCAGGTTTGAGTGTGTCTGTAAAAACTTTTCCAGACTGGATTGAGCTCTTCTGGGGAAAATCTGTACTGAACGTGGATGGCTCTATCCCCTGGGCTGAGGTTCTGGATTAGAGAAAAGGGGGAAAAAGAAGAAAGCCAGCTGAGTGCCTGGAATTTTCTTTCTTTGTTGTGAATCCACTGAGATATGAGCAAGTAGTCTCCCAATGGCATGGATGTGAGCTGGCCAGGCAGCATTACACTATATATGTTAATCCCAGCATTACAGATTAGAGCCCATGAACTGGGACCTCTCTTCCAGCGAGGCATAGTGTGTGTGTGTGTGTGTGTGTGTGTGTGTGAGAGAGAGAGAGAGAGAGAGAGAGAGAGAGAGAGAGAGAGTCTGTGTGTGTGTGTGTGTGTGTGTGTGCCTATACCTCAGCACTTGGGAGCTGGAGACAGGAGATTGGAACTTCAAGGCCAGTCAGTCCCTACCTCACAGACTTTGAGGCCAGCCTGGGTTCCATGACACCCAATTCCACAAACAAACACCAACACCCATACACAGTAGGAGCCTCTCCTTCCTGCAGCTGCTATGTTAGGAATTCTGTTGTAGCAACAGAAAAGTTTCACTCCTGCAGTGAGTGAAAACAGCGCACTTGACTTGCTTTGATGTGACTATTCGTGGCTCTGCCCTCACTTGGGTGTATGCCACCTCTTAATTGGTTTCAGGAGGTCTCATGAAGGTAATTTTGTTTGTACATTTGTGTTAAATCACTGTCTTTCTGGGGGGGCGGGAGGTTTGAGCTAGAGTCTTCTTGTTTAGCCATCTTATATCATTCTCAAGTATAACCCAAATCTCTGTTTTATGATATGGAGATAATTAATACTGGAAAAACTTTGCTCATTAAAATGGTAGAAATGGTAACACACCAAAAAAAAAAAAAAAGTTTGACCTCGTCAAACCAGGGACCTTATGGGAGCACGCCAAGCCAGGGACATCTGTGGGAACAGGCCTGAGCCAGTGACTTCAGCTGGAGCAGGCTCAAGGCAGCGACCTCAGCAGGAGCAACTCCAAGCAAGCAACCCCCATGGGAGCAGGCCTGAACAACCCCTGGGATTGCAGAGCAACCCCCAGGAGTTCTGCGCACATCCGGGACACTGAGTGACCTCCAGGGTGACTGGAACTGTGGCCCTGACTGCAGTACAAGGAGAAACCGTCTGATCCTTGGATCCACTGGCACCTGGAAGACTGATCACCAGAGACACAACCCCAACTACACCAATCAGAGAAAAAGATGAGTAGACAAGGTAAGAGCACACTCAACACCACAAAGAGCAACGTGATACCAATAAAAATTAGTGTCCCTATCCCAGCAAGACTTAACAACCAAATATAGATGAAGTAGAAAAAAATGACCTAAAAAATAATTTTAGGAGAACATTTGAGGCCCGTAAAGAGGAAATGAAAAATTCCCTCAAAGAAATGGAGGAAAAGACAAACAAAAAATTGGAGAAAATCAATAACTCTCTTAAAAAAAAAAAACCAAGAAAGAGCAATAAAACAGATGAAAGAAACATTCAAGACTTGAAAACTGAAATAAAGACCATAAAGAAAATACAAAGCAAGGGAATTATAGAAATGGAAATTATGAGAAAATGATCAGGAACCACAAATGCCAGCATAAACAGCAGAATACGAGAGATAGAAGAGAGAATCTCAAGTGCTGAAGATACAATAGAGGAAATAGACTTATCTGTCAAAGGAAACATTAAATCTAACAAAAGCTTAACACAAAATATCCAGGAAATATGGAACACCATGAAAAGACCAAACCTAAGAATGATAGAGATAGAAGAAGGAGAAGTCCAACTCAAACACACAGAAAATATAATCAACAAAATCATAGAAGAAAACTTTTCTAACCTAAAGAAATATATGCACATGAAGGTACAAGAAGCTTACAGAATACCAAATAGACTGGATCAAAAAAAAAAAAATACCCTGACCACATAATAGTCAAAACACTAAACATGCAAAATAAAGGAAGAATATTAAGAGCTGCAAAGGAAAAGGCCAAGTAACATATAATGCAGACCTATCAGAATTACACCTGACTTCTCAATGGAAACAATGAAAGTCAGAAGGTCCTGGTCAAGCATTATGCAGACATTAAGAGACCATGAATGCCTGTCCAGACTACTATATCCATCAATCACCATAGATGGACAAGAAGATATTCCATGACAAAACCATTTAATCAATACCTAGCCACAAACCCAGCCCTACACAAAGTACTAGAAGGAAAACTCCAACCCAAGGAAGTTGGCTACATCCACAAAAATACAGACAATAGATGATCTCACACCAGCAATTCCCAAAGAAGGAAAAACCACACACAATGTCATTACCAACAACGAAAACAAAAATAACAGGAACTAGCAATAACTGGCCATTAATTTCACTTAATATAAATGGACTCAACTCACCTATAAAAAGGTACAGGCTAAACAGATTAGATACGAAAACAAAATTGATTCTTCTGCTGCATACAAGAAACACAATTCAACCTTGGGCAGTAGAGGAGAGAGTGCCTGAACTGGCCTTGCCCAATAGTCAGACTGAGAGAAACAATTAATAAATGGGACCTCCTGAAACTGAGACGCTTCTGTAAAACTAAGGACACAGTCAACAAGACAAAACAGCAGCTTACAGAATGGGAAAAGATCTTCACTAACCCCACATCAGACAGAGGTCTGATCTCCAAAATATACAAAGAACTCAAGAAATTGGTCATCAAAAGAACAAATAATCCAATAAAAAATGTGGTACAGATCTAAACAGAGAACTCTCAACAGAGGAATCTAAAATGACTTAAAGACACTTAAGAAAATGCTCAACATCCTTAGCCATCAGAGAAATTCAAATCAAAACAACTCTGAGATTCCATCTTACACCTGTCAGAATGGCCAATATCAAAAACACTGATGAAAACTTACACTTGCGAGGATGTGGGGTAAATGGAACAGTCCTCCATTACTGGTGGGAGTGCAAACTGGTGCAGCTGCTTTGGATATCAATATGGTGATTTCTTACAAAATTAGGAAACACTTTCCTCAAGACCCATCAATACCACTTTTTTGGGTATATACCCAAAGGATGCTCAATCATACCACAAAGACATATGCTCAATTATGTTCATAGCAGCATTGTTTGTCATAGCCAGAACCTGAAAACAAACTAAGTGCTCCTCGATCAAAGAATGGATAAGAAAAATGTGGTATATTTACACAGTGGAGTACTACACAGCAGAAAAACAATGACATCTTGAAATTTGTTGGGAAATGGATGAATCCAGAAAACATCAAATTGAGTGAGGTAACCCAGACCCAGAAAGACAAATATCACTCATAACTGGCTTTTAGACATAAAGCAAACAAATCACAATCCCAAAGAACCTAGACAACAATGAGTACCGTAAGAGAGACATGTGTGGATCTAATCTACATGGGAAGTAGAAAAAAACAAGGTCTCTTGAGTAAATTGTGAACATGGGAATGGATAGAAGGGGAGGAGAGATGAAAGGAGGGGAGCAGAGAAATATATATATATATATATATATATATATATATATATATATATAATAAAAATAGCACCCCTCCCGCAAAGAGTGATCATTTCTTAATTTTTTAATATTTTTTGGTTTTTAATTTTATACACAAATACATTATAATTTTGATATAATTCACTACCAACTCCTCTCACTTCTCTCTTTCTCTTTCAACTTCATATTGTCATCATAATTGTGTGTGTACACACACACACACACGCACACACACACACCCTACTGTGTCCAATTAGTGTTGCCCATATGCAATTGGGTGTGTGACTGGCCACTTAGGCATGGACAACCTGTCACGGGGCTTGTCCATGAAGAAAACTGATTTCTTTCTCAGAAGCTGTGCATTGCCACTAGCTTGTCAACTAGTGCTGGTAGGGGTGGGGCCTAATGAGCCCTTTCTGGCCTGGCCCGTGCTGGAATGCCAACTGGTGTGGGCTGCTGTAGGTTTTGTGTAGGCAGTCCTTACTGTTGAGGGTTCATGGGTGCAAATCTTTACTATGTCCAGAGGACAACAGTCCTGCCTGTCCTCTGCTCTGGCAATCTTTCTGCCCATCTTCTTGGGTATTTCCCGGGCCTTGGGACAGGGCTTGTATTATTGATGTTCCATGTACGATGGAAACTCCAAACTTTGGGTTCTCTACACCTTGCCAGTTGTTCTTTGCGGTAGCCTCCTTCTCCTGCAGACATTTCTTTGGTAGGGGATGAGAGCTGCACTAATCTATGGCTGTAGGAAGTAAGTGTTTGGAAGGCAATTGGAAACTATCAGTTTAGTTTGGTGTCAGTAGCTTCATGTATCATGAAGTGAATATTCTTTCATTGAAGGGATTGCTGTTTATTCTGTATAAACTGTACCATAGTTAGGTCAACCTTAAATAGAATCTTTTGTTTTAACAGGTAATTACTCAATTTTTATGGATATTATTTTGTGTTAATTATAAATGGTAATTGTGCTGCTGAAAGTGTCTATAATTACATATCCAAATGCAAAGTGATATGAAAGATGAGTGTTTTTGACAATTGAGAGTAAAAGATGTATTGTGATTATATCGATGCCCCACAACCCTTCCCTTTCCCTCTCCCACTGTAACGGCATCTTCTTCCCAATGAATGTCCCTCTTACCCTCAAGGCTTGCTTTATTTTATTTTATGCAGATAACCATAGAGATGAATTGTGTGTGTGTGTTTTATAACTCTTTTCTTTCCTTTTTTCCCCCAGGACAGAGTTTATTCAAAGAGGCAGAATCTCAATCACGGGGGCTGGGTTTCTCAACTGTATTTTGGAAACTTTCGCTAGTGCATTCTTAAGACAGGGAGCCCAGAAGGTAAGCTTGGTTCAACTTTGAACTCATATTAATTTTAAGAAAACATGGAGAAATCAGTTGGGTATTGAATAGGACACAGTAGAAGAATGTCATGAACAGATATGATAAAAAAGGGGAGTTAATGAATAAATGTACCCACAAAATTTCTCTTAATAATTGCTATTTAAGTCCAAAGTTTAACCAGGTTAAGTCAGTCTGAATACATTCTAAGGAGTGCTGACCTAGGCTGTTGAGATTAAGCATGTGTTATTGGCCTGGCTGGGGGGCGGTGTTCTGTCATGGATCCAGACTGGTTTAGCATAGGCTGGAAGGAAGTCATTGAACTCCTAGGTCTAATGTCACTTTTCCTCATGGAGACATTATTGTGCTTGTTTTTCTGCTAGAGCACAATGTGTGCATTTATTAAAAAAAAAAAGAAAATAAAGTAAAAGAAAAATAACACCACCAGACTCCTATCTACAAAATTGCAATCTCAAAGTAATGCCCCTGGTGAGAAAATTAATTTTATCACTGTGTCTCTGACTGAGTTGACTCCTTGTTCATCTATTAAATCCTCTATTAGAAAAGCCGTAATAATAATAATTAAGTATAATTGTTTAGCACACAAGTCTATTCATCAAAAGGATGGAGCCCCTTTTGGGAGAGATAATATTTAAATGTTGAGTTGAGGTTTCTTATTATTAGACTGACTACACAGAGTCATTTGTAAAATAAAATAAAATTCTATCCGATGGTCCCTGTGAAAACACACATCAGGCTGTATTCATCCTGGATGTTGTGGCTTGCCTTGCTTTAGACAAAAACATGTTGTCCATTCACCTGAGTGACTTTGTATTTTACCTGTCATCAATCTGAACCTGTTAATAGTTGTTAATCATATATGGATCCTGATATATATATATATATATATATATATATATATATATATATATATGTATATATATATAGTTTAGTGGGCTGTGAATCTCCACTGTCCAGGTGTCTATGTTGAATACAGTTCTAGCCAATGGAAAGACTGACTGCATCTCTCTCTCTCTCTCTGTCAGCCAAATGACTGTCTATTTCTTCCTTTTCTAATGTTTCTGGAAGGAGAGGCCCTTGTTTGCAAACAGGTCAAACAGCACTTGTACAGTTGAATGGCGGCTGTCCAAACAGGATCCTCTTCTCTGCCATGGGCATGGAGACCAGGGCTGAGGTCACTTCTCAGATAAAGGGCTTGCGGGAAAATATTTCCTACCATGTTCTCAGTAGACTCTGTACTCTGTACCCTACTGGGAGAGAGAGAGAGAGAGAGAGAGAGAGAGAGAGAGAGAGAGAGAGAGAGAGAGAGAGAGAGAGACACACACAGAGAGAGAGAGAGAGAGAGAGAAACACAGAGAGAGAGAGAGAGAAACACAGAGAGAGAGAGAGCGAGTGCTTTGTCATCATCTTCCTTTAATCTCTCCCTTCTTTACCTTCCATGCCCCCCAAAAGAGGATGTTAGGTGTCTTCCTCTTTCTTTCACTGAACCTGAAGCTTAAGTGCTGGTCAGCAAGACCCAGCCATCCTCCTGTCTTCCACCCCTACCAAGTTTAGGTCACAGGTGAGGGAGTATGCATGTGTGCGCATGTATGTACATGTATGTTTTTGTGTGTGTGTGGCCAGCTTTTTATGTGGATGCTGGTATCTGAACTCAGGTTCTCATGCTTGCAGAGCAAATACTCACTGAGCCTTCTCTTCAGACCCAGCTTTTAGTCTTGGTCCTGATTCCTCCCTAGCCTGTGATGCTCTGGACAGGGCCTCGTATGTGTATGTGGAAGTGAATGGGCACAAAGTAAAACACAGAGGGGAGCATGGTTGACTTCTTCTGAATATTCACAGGAGCAAAACCAACTAAACCAGGTGACGAATGTTTCAAACCGATTAACCCTTTATTGTTCTTGATTATGTTCAGAAATAAGAGAATGCATTTTACCCGCTAGCTTTTCCAACTTTGCTTTCTGAAGAAGCTAAGTTTAATTAGCTTTTTGATTTTAGAAGACATCCATACTTAAGTATCTTTCACATCTTACTCATGTGATGCTGTTTTGTAGGACGAGCCTGCCTTCCTAGTAAACCTCCCCGCTGAGTTGGCATAACTGGTTTCTGCCCAAGTGGATGTGTGGTTTTTAGGTGGCTGCATTTTCAGTTTTGGGCTTTATCCTTGAGGCTGTTCAGTGGTGTCAAAAGTGGGACCTGACAGCTATTATTTACCTCTCATAAAAGCAAAATTAGACACTCAAACTTTCTATCTATGTTTGTAAATTAAACTCAGTCTGTCGATATGAAGCTGTAGGTGAGGTTACTTGTTTTTCTGGGCCTCCAGGGGCTTGTTCAATTGCATTTTTTCCCTTTTTCTTTTCTAATCTAGTGCAGGCTACAATTGGGGCCCTTATGGACACACACGCTGACTTTCACATACCAGTCGGAAGCTGCCTTCTTCTTGGATTAGATGGAATGGTTATAAATGTTATTGATTTCCCTTGGGTGCCAAGCCCCAGGCATGCCCCTGCGGTAGGACAGGTTGTACATAGGCAGGCTGCTGTGCACACCCCCATCACTTTTGTGACCTGGCAGCAGTCCCTCTGCCCAAGTTTGTTCATCCGCCAAAGAGGGATTTTATGCATTCCTAGAAATATGAGTGAACACTATGAGGATTTTAACATTGAAATCCTCAGGTCACATATAAACACATGTTCCCTTTGCTTCTAAGTGTTAGGAACATCACAACCACATGTTTCTCTGTCCTGCTTTCTTGTTATCATTACACATCTCCCAAGCCGCGTGAGCATATATAGTGCACATCACTACATTTGAAGCTTTATTCAACTCTACAAGCGTCTTTTGATGAGCTGTGTGCTGGACGTCGGGGTGAGTGCTGGAGACACACAGAAATGAGGCATAACTCACAGGATAGAGGCCGCCTTGTGCAGCTTCAGTTTGGGGACCTGTGGCTGAGGGTGGATAGCATGGCAGACAATGGTTAACATCTGCCAATGCTGGGGATGGATGAAGTCTGGCTTTGGGCTTAGGCTCGGCACTCTGAGACTAAGGAGGGGACTAGTCAGCAGCTTGTGAGCATGACAGTTGTAGATGACATGCCCTGGGCCTCACATGCGTGCCCTTGTCTGCTTCCCTGAGCAGCTCAGCGAGATGGGAGCTGCTGTTCTCCTTTCATTTGTACAGGGAAACTGAGGTCCCAAGAGGCAGAACAGTTTTCTCAAGGTTACTAAATTAGAAAGTGGGACAATTGGAGTGTGATCCAAACCTTGTCTGACCCCAGAGTGGACTCTTGGTCTCTGACTCTTACGGGCCCACCTATAATCTCTGCACCTAAGCCATGTGCGTGTTGGGGAGAAGGTGTATGTGCTTAGAATTGTTCTCAGCCAGTGAGCACTAGAGACATGGCATGTTCCTCAGTTTGAGGGGCATCACACAGATGTGTAGTTGAATCTGAGCACAGCTCATTGGCACACAGAATCAGAGGTTCATGTTGTTTTCATGTGCCAAGTTGGGGTAATTTGTTACACAGCAATAAATAACCAATAGAGTGAGTTTGAAAAAAAAAAGTCATGCAGCCAGATATAGCCAGGTCTTTTCTTTTTTCCTACATAGCCCTGACTATCTCGGAACTCACTATGTGGACCAGGTTGACCTTGAATTTACAGAGTTCCACCTGTAGTGCTGGGATTAAAAAAAAAGTGTGCAGCACCAAACCCACCCTAACCTGGGTTTTTCAAATGTCCTTTTAGATCACATGTGTTAGACTAAATCTTTTTTGACAGTAGGGAGTTATTATCCATTTTAAAACAGGACTTTTCAAAAAAAAATCAAACTAACAACCTCACATCCTAAAGTGACATGTTCACATGTTCAGATTTTTAGATATAGCATGCCCAAGCCAGACTTTTAAAAGCATGTTCAAATAGTTTGACTTGCTCACAGTTGTCTCTGTAGCAAATATTTCACACGCTGTTGAATTCCACTTCTGCTTCAGCTTTCTGATCAGCGTGATGAGAATAACGATGGCACTAATAACGGCGCCTTCCACGAGAGTGGTTGAGATAACAAATTATTTTATCACACATCGAAAATGTATTTCACAAACTAAAAGAAGGAGCACGTCTGTGGGACTGTATAATGAGAACTCTGCATTCCTCGGCATTTGTAGTCGTCCCTAACCGCAGAGACAAACTGGCTAAAAAAAGAACAATGCATGGCAAGATTGTTGTCGCCCATATTATCGTCCAAGCCCATGCAAAGAGGAGAAAAGTGAATTCTGGCCTCTAAAGAAACCAAATGGGAGCAGCTCACCCTACAGTTGTGATTTAGGTTTCCCTTTCTGTCCTGGGCTGCTTTGGAAGTGAACGTGGGGTGGAGGAGCTGGTAAGAACGTTGCAGAGATGGAAGGATCGTGTTCATTGTGGTATAAGGTGCCCTTTCTCAATGGAGTGGTGCCAGCAAGAGAAAGAAGTGGGTATTGGAAGCCAAATGTATTCTCCGTATGTAAATTAAAGTCATAATAGATCCTCGGTTTGTTTATGGCATCACAGTTTCATAATAAGGACAACAGTTAGAGGTGGGGTGAAGCAGCCAGTGTCTTCTGGACCAGTGGTCTAGTCCTGAATGATCGTCGTTGAGATGTATAACTTCCATGGTCAGGCAAGGACAGGAAAATTTCTAGAATTTTGAGCTGTGTCTTGGGTCCCATTCATTGCATTAATGAGAGTCTGTTTCTAATGTACATTATGGTAGTTAATAAGCCACCAATTTCACCAGTGAAAATTCAGTTTGAACATTCCTTATGCTAATTTCCTTTTAAGGATGAAGGTAATTGAAATTTCTAGAGAGAGATTGCTGATTAGAATACTCGCAACAACTGCTGGAGTGTGAAGCGGCACTGGCTGTCCTTAGCATGCGACACGTACGTGCCGTAGTACTTACTACCTTGTGTACGCTGAAGGGCTTTGAAGCAAATTGTA